ACACATCACATACCTTACAGGCATTTGTAAACATTCTTGAACACATTAAACATTTGCAATTAACCATGAATACAAATTAACTATTTAAATAACTGACCTTTTTATATAGCCAGGGCTACACCCTCCCCCTTCTGAATGTCTGAATGTCCCCATCAGACCTATTTTCAGTAGGCCAGTTAAAAACTCACTAAAGAGTACGGGCAGTAACATTTAGGAGTCAGGGTCGCAGCAAATCTGAATTACCATACCTCGGTAACTAATAGTCACAGGTCTGTCAGTGGGCCTTCCAAGTTCATCATAACTGACGCAAAACAGGTCTCACCCTCCTTTTCATTTGGAGGTCATAGGGTGAGTCAGCATCCCCCACAGAAACACTAGGTGCAGGAACATCCCTCTCCTCCATCTCTTCAGCCACCACAGAGTCTTGGTGTTGCTGTAAACATTCCTCTGTCTGATCTACTGCTACTGAGAGTTGTTCCCCCAGTTCCTCCACCTCAGACAATTCATGAACACTGAGAAGATCACTTTCCATCTGTTCAGGAAGGCTCACAACCTCCTTTTGCTTAGCCCCCTCACTTTGAGGTTCAACACGGTCATGAAAGGCTAAAGGAGGTTCATAGTAGACACACTGTTCTTCAGACTCTGAGGACGAATCATCTTCACTCAGATGCAACAAATCTTGTGTCTGACTTTCATTTTCACAACTCACTTGCTGTGCCCTGGTCCTTGGTCTCTCTGGTCGCGCTGTCTTTTCTGATGGAGCAGACATCCTGACCATGTAACCAATGGGCAGCAGGTGATCCCTATGCATGGTCCTTACTATACCAGTTCATCTCTCTGGTTTTACACGATACACCGGGAGATTGGGTAACTTGGCCATCACTATGTAAGGTAGTGAGTTCCACCTGTCTGTTAGCTTGTGCTTTCCTGTGAGGCCCAGATTCCGAACCAGCACGCGATCACCTTCTTCAAGTGTCTGATTCCGAACCCTCGCATCATACAGTCTCTTGTTTCGTTCCTGGTTCCTGGAAGCTGCATCAGCGGCTAGCTGGTAAGCTTGTTGAAGTTCTTTTCTCATGTTAACCACATACTGGTGGTGCTTTAAGTCATTTTCTTCATCTGACCCCACACCAAAACACAGGTCAATGGGTAGTCGCGCCTCCCTTCCAAACATGAGGAAGTAGGGCGAATATCCTGTGGCATCATTTCTAGTGCTGTTGTAAGCATGTACTAGCTGGCTTATATGCTGGCTCCACTTTGGCTTTTTAGCTGGATCCAGGGTGCCCAACATTCCCAGCAAAGTACGATTGAAACGCTCAGGCTGCGGGTCACCCTGAGGATGGTAGGGTGACGTTCTGGACTTACGAATGCCCAGCAGGGTCAATAGCTCCTTAATGAGCTTGCTCTCAAAATCTCTTCCCTGGTCCGAGTGAATGCGAGCAGGCAATCCATAATGCACAAAGAACTTTTCAAAAAGGACTTTGGCAACAGTCAGAGCCTTCTGAACTTTTGTGGGAAAAGCTTGACCATACCTGGTGTAATGATCAGTGACCACCAGCACATTAGCTATACCTTTAGAGTCAGGCTCAATAGAAAGAAAGTCTATGCAGACCAGGTCTAGAGGGCCATTACTGGTGATGTGCTGTAAAGGGGCAGCTTTCTGTGGGATGGACTTCCTAGCTACACACCTTCCACAGTTCTGTATGTATGTTGCAACTTCAGATGCCACTCTGGGCCATTAAAACCGGTCTTTAATGAGCTCTGTAGTTCGTTCTGTGCCCAGGTGACCAGCATCATCATGTACTGACTTTAGTATCATTGGCCGATACTTAGCGGGCATGACGATCTGACTTACTTCTCGACCAGAGGGTCTTGTGGTGACTCTGTAGAGAAGGCCACGCTTAACCTTTAACTTGGATCTTTCTCGCATGAGCAACACAACATCTGGGTTTGCATGTGTAGGAGCTGAAACGCTTTGGTTTCTCTCAACTTGAAGTTTCACCACACCTACAACGGGATCAGAGTCTTGGGCTTCTGACAGTTCTTTCAGGCTTAGCTGTTCCAGCGGGCTCACTTCTATCTGGGTAAAGTTTGCATATAAAGCTGGAATGGCGTCTGGCGCAACACCCAGTTGGTCAACAAATCTGGTGGTTTGTTCTTGAAACCCATTGGTAGTGATCCGATGACACACAGCTTTTACTCCAGGAGGTGGGATATCCACCCATCCACCTGTTGTGTCTTGCGGACTCCTGGACAGTGAATCGGCATCCACGTTTTCACGGCCGGGCTTATATTGAATGTTGAAATCATAGGTGGAAAGTGCTGCTAGCCTGTCGCGTTCAACCTGGCAGTGGTCAGGACGTAGGTGAGTGGGTTATTATCAGTTCTCACCGTGAACTTAGCCCCATAAAGGTAGTCATGGAACTTCTCCACTACTGCCCATTTCAGAGCCAAAAACTCCAGTTGGTGAACTGGGTAGTTCCGTTCTGCATGACTCAACTTGCGGCTGGCAAACGCTACCGGGCGGAGCCCTTCTGGGTACTCTTGGTTCAGGACTGCTCCTATCCCATCCAAACTGGCATCAACATGTAGAATGTATGGTCTGGTTGGATCAGCAAATGCCAAAACTGGAGCATGTGTGAGCTTGTAAACAATGCTCTGAAAGGCGTCATCACAAGCTGGGGTCCACCGATCACCAAACGGCTCGGCAACTCGAAAGTAGCTATTTTGCTTTCCTTTAGTGACACCCCTTTTGCTACTCTGGGCAGGAGGATATCCTTTGGTCAGTTCTGTCAAAGGGCGGACTATGGCGGAGTAGTTTTGGATGAACCGCCGATAGTATCCACAAAATCCGAGAAAAGATCTTAGGGATTTCAGATCAATGGGTTTCTTCCAGTGGGTCACCGCACTCACTTTCTCAGGATCAGTGGCAACTCCTGAGGCAGAGACAATGTGTCCCAAGAACTTCACCTGGGGTTGGCAAAATTGACACTTGTCAATGGAGACTTTGAGACCACATTCCTCCAGTCGGTCCAGGACTTTAAGTAGCCGTTCGTCATGCTCCTCCAGTGTCCTGCCAAACACAATAAGGTCATCCAGATACACAAGGACTTGAATCAGATTCATGTCTCCAACTGCTCTCTCCATTAACCTTTGGAAGGTTGCGGGCGCGCCAGTAATGCCTTGAGGCATCCTCTCAAACTGGAAAAACCCAAGAGGACAGATAAAAGCTGTTTTCTCTTTATCAGCCTCAGACATCTCCACTTGGTAATAGCCACTTCTCAGGTCCAGTACAGAAAACCACTTGTTCCTGTCAGGCAATCCAGTGCATCAGCTATGCGGGGCATAGTGTACTGGTCTGGGATGGTTCTGGAATTCAGTAGACGGTAATCAATACACATCCGCACCTTGCCATTCTTCTTCCGGACTATGACAATCGGGGAAGCATACGGACTGCGTGACTCTTTGATTATGCCGGCTGCCAGCAGCTCTTGTAGATGGCGTCGGACATCTTCAATGTCAGCAGGTGCAATTCTGCGAGATCTCTCCTTGAATGGTCGCGGGTCTCTCAGCCTTATGTGATGAGTGACACCTTTGGCTAAGCCAACATCCCACTCCTCCAGGGAAAAGACATCTGCTCTTTTTGCTAACTTTGCTGCTAACCTGGCTTTCCACTCTTCAGGGATAGGAGAATCTCCAAAGTCAAACAGTTCAGGATCAATGGACCTTTCTTGGGCGGAGGTCTTTGTTAACTAAGTGACAGTGTCCACCAAGTACACCTGAGCTAGCACTGTACCGGTGGGGACAATAGTTTCTCTTTGGGTCTCATTTCTTAGCAGAATTGTGAAACTGTTAGTATCCATCTCAGAAGAAGGTAGTACCACAGATGGAACCAGCACGCCAGCTGGGAGGTTTGTGGATTCACCCACCTCTACCATTAGAATACTTTTGTCTAATGGCTGCTGTTGTTCCACTTCGCACACTGCATACTGCACTGCACGAGGAGGGATAGTGATAGGCCCGGGACCCTGCCACTTCACATGACCCACCACGCCTGTTTGTTTGGTGATAAGTGATGATGGCTGTTCTGAGGAGAGGGTATTTATCCTCAGTGAGCGGACCTCATCTTTTCCTCCTACCTCTTCATAATCTCTCAGCAGAGAATGCAGTTTCTGGGAGTTAGTGCCAATGATGACAGGAACAGGGTCTGGGCTCTTTGGGTCTGGACACACCAAAGCCAAGACTGTGACTGTTTCTACAGCTTCCTTTGACTTGGGGGGTGGGAAACCCACCTCAACTGCCACATACCCCTTGTATGGGTAGTTGGAATCACTCAGTCCCCATATGGCGAGATCTTTTAAAGGAAGAATGGGCACATTGGGGATGAAACGGGAATAACAGCCCTCAAATATAATGGTGACTCGAGAGCCGCTGTCAAGGAGAGCTCTACATGGTTGTCCCTCTATGGTCACCTCGGTCATCATGGATGGACCAACCAATCCATCTGGGAGTCCACACTGTGAGGATGTGTGCACGGAACTTTTCCTGATGGAACCAACCTGTGTGGGCTCGGAAGCGCCACCTGTAGCCCCTTTTTCCTCTCTGCTCCTACGGAGGGCTCCGAGTAGCCTCTGGATTACTTTGGCAGTGTTTTCAGGCGCCATGCAGCGGGTGGCAATATGGCCGTTCTCCCCACACCGGTAACAGAAGTAGCTTTCTGAATCATTGGCAGCATATGGTCTGTTTACTTTGCTTCGTTTGGCTCTCCCCTCTGTCTTTGTCGAGTCCATTTGGGTTGAACCCTGTGCCACTGCCATAACAGTCAGCTGGTGTTGTAACTGTTCAACTTGTTGCTTTAACTGCTGGACTTCATTCTCCGCCCCAGCCTGAGCAACTTTCTTGGTTTGTTTCGACATTAGCTCGTCATCTGAGCGCTTGCTTGTTAACTCTTTAATCTCACAGCGTAACTCTTATCTCGGCCTTGAGCTCTTGAACCTCGGTTCATTTGTCTTTGGTCTCTTTGCCAACATTCACTTGTCTAACTGTGGTGTTTGACTCATACCTCACCCTTGCATGGTCTTCTTCTTCTCGAATCTCACTGAGCAGCCTCGGGAAAGTAGGTGGTTCCTCTTTCCTCTCTCTGAGTCTTAGCTGCAGTAACATCATCTCTGACTCAGTTGCACCCCGTATAAGCTGGTCAATACGGGCACGGTCGACTCGATGGCTAGGCAGACCCCCTCGCTGTACTACTTTGGTCAAAGAGTGTTCCAATCTTCTCAGAAAGTCTGACAGCTTTTCACCTCGCAGTTGACCCAGGCTCCTGAAGGCGACGTACAAGTCTTCGCCAGTCTCCAGGGATCCAAATGCACTTTCTAGAGCCTCTACATAGCTCTCCGGGCTGGCATCAGGATTATCTCCCCGTACAGCTTGGATGATTTCCAACGCCGGTCCCTTTAGGCTCTCAATTACTCTCCTTCGCTTCTCTCGCTCAGAGCAGTCGCACTCTTCAATCATCAGGCGAGCCTGCTCAACCCAGCTATCAAGGCTCTCTTCACCGGCTGGCGTCGGAGAGTGGCCAGAAAATGTCCGCAGACGTCGAGATGGAGTATTCTCACTGGTAGGTCGCATAGTTTTCGCTAACAAGTCTCCGACTGCCCGAATGATGGCTTCAGGGGAGTTTTCCTGTGGGGTTTCACTAGACAGCAAGGCAGTAACATCATCAATGGTTTTACCTTCTTCTACCATTAGTTTCTTAAGCTTGGCTGAGAAGTCATCAGCTGACCTCACAGATTCAGTGAGGAGAAAAATTTTCCATGCAGGACCTCCGTTCAATGGCTGCACATGTGGTGGTATGCGGTCTGGCTGTATATCCTGGCGGCATTCACACAGCACAAGGTTATCACCTGTCTGGGTGTCTGTTAGTCTATCTCTCACTTTTACTCTCCCGAAAGCTTTTATTGACTGAGCGGTCTCTTCAATGTCTGATAAGTCAAAGTCAGTAGGAACATCATGCAGTATAAAAGCCCTGTTTGGGTCTAAGCTCAGGTGCAAATTGAGACTCTTTTTGAGCAGTCATCCTACAAACCTTAATGCTGGTGTGCTAAGCTGTGCAAATCTGCAAACCAAATATCCCTCTAAAGAACAAACTAGAAAAGTTGAGCACGGAAGTATCCCAGCGGTGCCTCCAATTTGTGTAACACCCGTCCCACTTCTATTGAGAGGGGCCCTGGGTTCCTGTTGTTACTTTCCTATTGATACTCCCTTTATGATGCTTATGGTATAAAATATGCAATAAAATCACACTATATAGGAAAAAGAAATCACACACAAGAAGGTCAATTAAAAGTTAACTCCACTTTAGTGAACAATTAATTAACACTGCAAAACAAAAAGAAAATCTATTAAGTTTGTTGAACAATAGTATAGTATCTACTTCAACATAAACAAAGTAATCGAATAATATTATGGGCCCACACGCACTCTCACCACCACACACACACACCTCAAATACTACAGTCTTAGCCCACCACTCGTTGCAGGCCTGGGTCGCGGCTCGGGTGCATTGGGACCTAAAACAATATGGTCACTTCACTTGTTGCCAAGCAGTAAAAAAACGTGCACACAGTACTCACACCTCCTGGCAGTTTAAGGGGACAGCCGGGGAAAACTGAGTCAAGGCTACCAGCAGGCCGCGGCAGCAGCACTCAGTCGTCGTCTCCGCGTGCTCCCACGTGAACACATAACTTCAGCACACCAGCAAAGGGGACCTCTCCAACACGCCAACAAGACGTCCGTCTCCTCCTCACAGTATCACACAACTCCGCTCACAGTAGGGTACAACAGTTTTCCACTCCAGTTAACATCCGTCAACCCGAAAATACTTCTGTCGCCCTTCTATGAACTCTGCGTTCACTCCACACTGTTCAGCTCTCGTCTCTCTCTCGCTTCTTGCCGAGTGCACACGGCTCCCCCCTTACTCCCGCCCCTCTATCTGAGACTACTTCAGGGTTCACTGGAGTTGTAGTACATATCAATACCATATCACAAATAATGACATAAACCTCAAAATACAAAAACTGTGCATTAACTGACACACATCACATACCTTACAGGCATTTGTAAACATTCTTGAACACATTAAACATTTGCAATTAACCATGAATACAAATTAACTATTTAAATAAATGACCTTTTTATATAGCCAGGGCTACACCCTCCCCCTTCTGAATGTCTGAATGTCCCCATCAGACCTATTTTCAGTAGGCCAGTTAAAAACTCACTAAAGAGTACGGGCAGTAACATTTAGGAGTCAGGGTCGCAGCAAATCTGAATTACCATACCTCGGTAACTAATAGTCACAGGTCTGTCAGTGGGCCTTCCAAGTTCATCATAACTGTGACGCAAAACAGATCTCACCCTCCTTTTCATTTGGAGGTCATAGGGTGAGTCAGCATCCCCCACAGAAACACTAGGTGCAGGAACATCCCTCTCCTCCATCTCTTCAGCCACCACAGAGTCTTGGTGTTGCTGTAAACATTCCTCTGTCTGATCTACTGCTACTGAGAGTTGTTCCCCCAGTTCCTCCACCTCAGACAATTCATGAACACTGAGAAGATCACTTTCCATCTGTTCAGGAAGGCTCACAACCTCCTTTTGCTTAGCCCCCTCACTTTGAGGTTCAACACGGTCATGAAAGGCTAAAGGAGGTTCATAGTAGACACACTGTTCTTCAGACTCTGAGGACGAATCATCTTCACTCAGATGCAACAAATCTTGTGTCTGACTTTCATTTTCACAACTCACTTGCTGTGCCCTGGTCCTTGGTCTCTCTGGTCGCGCTGTCTTTTCTGATGGAGCAGACATCCTGACCATGTAACCAATGGGCAGCAGGTGATCCCTATGCATGGTCCTTACTATACCAGTTCATCTCTCTGGTTTTACACGATACACCGGGAGATTGGGTAACTTGGCCATCACTATGTAAGGTAGTGAGTTCCACCTGTCTGTTAGCTTGTGCTTTCCTGTGAGGCCCAGATTCCAGACCAGCACGCGATCACCTTCTTCAAGTGTCTGATTCCGAACCCTCGCATCATACAGTCTCTTGTTTCGTTCCTGGTTCCTGGAAGCTGCATCAGCGGCTAGCTGGTAAGCTTGTTGAAGTTCTTTTCTCATGTTAACCACATACTGGTGGTGCTTTAAGTCATTTTCTTCATCTGACCCCACACCAAAACACAGGTCAATGGGTAGTCGCGCCTCCCTTCCAAACATGAGGAAGTAGGGCGAATATCCTGTGGCATCATTTCTAGTGCTGTTGTAAGCATGTACTAGCTGGCTTATATGCTGGCTCCACTTTGGCTTTTTAGCTGGATCCAGGGTGCCCAACATTCCCAGCAAAGTACGATTGAAACGCTCAGGCTGCGGGTCACCCTGAGGATGGTAGGGTGACGTTCTGGACTTACGAATGCCCAGCAGGGTCAATAGCTCCTTAATGAGCTTGCTCTCAAAATCTCTTCCCTGGTCCGAGTGAATGCGAGCAGGCAATCCATAATGCACAAAGAACTTTTCAAAAAGGACTTTGGCAACAGTCAGAGCCTTCTGAACTTTTGTGGGAAAAGCTTGAGCATACCTGGTGTAATGATCAGTGACCACCAGCACATTAGCTATACCTTTAGAGTCAGGCTCAATAGAAAGAAAGTCTATGCAGACCAGGTCTAGAGGGCCATTACTGGTGATGTGCTGTAAAGGGGCAGCTTTCTGTGGGATGGACTTCCTAGCTACACACCTTCCACAGTTCTGTATGTATGTTGCAACTTCAGATGCCACTCTGGGCCATTAAAACCGGTCTTTAATGAGCTCTGTAGTTCGTTCTGTGCCCAGGTGACCAGCATCATCATGTACTGACTTTAGTATCATTGGCCGATACTTAGCGGGCATGACGATCTGACTTACTTCTCGACCAGAGGGTCTTGTGGTGACTCTGTAGAGAAGGCCACGCTTAACCTTTAACTTGGATCTTTCTCGCATGAGCAACACAACATCTGGGTTTGCATGTGTAGGAGCTGAAACGCTTTGGTTTCTCTCAACTTGAAGTTTCACCACACCTACAACGGGATCAGAGTCTTGGGCTTCTGACAGTTCTTTCAGGCTTAGCTGTTCCAGCGGGCTCACTTCTATCTGGGTAAAGTTTGCATATAAAGCTGGAATGACGTCTGGCGCAACACCCAGTTGGTCAACAAATCTGGTGGTTTGTTCTTGAAACCCATTGGTAGTGATCCGATGACACACAGCTTTTACTCCAGGAGGTGGGATATCCACCCATCCACCTGTTGTGTCTTGCGGACTCCTGGACAGTGAATCGGCATCCACGTTTTCACGGCCGGGCTTATATTGAATGTTGAAATCATAGGTGGAAAGTGCTGCTAGCCTGTCGCGTTCAACCTGGCAGTGGTCAGGACGTAGGTGAGTGGGTTATTATCAGTTCTCACCGTGAACTTAGCCCCATAAAGGTAGTCATGGAACTTCTCCACTACTGCCCATTTCAGAGCCAAAAACTCCAGTTGGTGAACTGGGTAGTTCCGTTCTGCATGACTCAACTTGCGGCTGGCAAACGCTACCGGGCGGAGCCCTTCTGGGTACTCTTGGTTCAGGACTGCTCCTATCCCGTCCAAACTGGCATCAACATGTAGAATGTATGGTCTGGTTGGATCAGCAAATGCCAAAACTGGAGCATGTGTGAGCTTGTAAACAACGCTCTGAAAGGCGTCATCACAAGCTGGGGTCCACCGATCACCAAACGGCTCGGCAACTCGAAAGTAGCTATTTTGCTTTCCTTTAGTGACACCCCTTTTGCTACTCTGGGCAGGAGGATATCCTTTGGTCAGTTCTGTCAAAGGGCGGACTATGGCGGAGTAGTTTTGGATGAACCGCCGATAGTATCCACAAAATCCGAGAAAAGATCTTAGGGATTTCAGATCAATGGGTTTCTTCCAGTGGGTCACCGCACTCACTTTCTCAGGATCAGTGGCAACTCCTGAGGCAGAGACAATGTGTCCCAAGAACTTCACCTGGGGTTGGCAAAATTGACACTTGTCAATGGAGACTTTGAGACCACATTCCTCCAGTCGGTCCAGGACTTTAAGTAGCCGTTCGTCATGCTCCTCCAGTGTCCTGCCAAACACAATAAGGTCATCCAGATACACAAGGACTTGAATCAGATTCATGTCTCCAACTGCTCTCTCCATTAACCTTTGGAAGGTTGCGGGCGCGCCAGTAATGCCTTGAGGCATCCTCTCAAACTGGAAAAACCCAAGAGGACAGATAAAAGCTGTTTTCTCTTTATCAGCCTCAGACATCTCCACTTGGTAATAGCCACTTCTCAGGTCCAGTACAGAAAACCACTTGCTTCCTGTCAGGCAATCCAGTGCATCAGCTATGCGGGGCATAGTGTACTGGTCTGGGATGGTTCTGGAATTCAGTAGACGGTAATCAATACACATCCGCACCTTGCCATTCTTCTTCCGGACTATGACAATCGGGGAAGCATACGGACTGCGTGACTCTTTGATTATGCCGGCTGCCAGCAGCTCTTGTAGATGGCGTCGGACATCTTCAATGTCAGCAGGTGCAATTCTGCGAGATCTCTCCTTGAATGGTCGCGGGTCTCTCAGCCTTATGTGATGAGTGACACCTTTGGCTAAGCCAACATCCCACTCCTCCAGGGAAAAGACATCTGCTCTTTTTGCTAACTTTGCTGCTAACCTGGCTTTCCACTCTTCAGGGATAGGAGAATCTCCAAAGTCAAACAGTTCAGGATCAATGGACCTTTCTTGGGCGGAGGTCTTTGTTAACTAAGTGACAGTGTCCACCAAGTACACCTGAGCTAGCACTGTACCGGTGGGGACAATAGTTTCTCTTTGGGTCTCATTTCTTAGCAGAATTGTGAAACTGTTAGTATCCATCTCAGAAGAAGGTAGTACCACAGATGGAACCAGCACGCCAGCTGGGAGGTTTGTGGATTCACCCACCTCTACCATTAGAATACTTTTGTCTAATGGCTGCTGTTGTTCCACTTCGCACACTGCATACTGCACTGCACGAGGAGGGATAGTGATAGGCCCGGGACCCTGCCACTTCACATGACCCATCACGCCTGTTTGTTTGGTGATAAGTGATGATGGCTGTTCTGAGGAGAGGGTATTTATCCTCAGTGAGCGGACCTCATCTTTTCCTCCTACCTCTTCATAATCTCTCAGCAGAGAATGCAGTTTCTGGGAGTTAGTGCCAATGATGACAGGAACCGGGTCTGGGCTCTTTGGGTCTGGACACACCAAAGCCAAGACTGTGACTGTTTCTACAGCTTCCTTTGACTTGGGGGGTGGGAAACCCACCTC